GCCGCGGCCGCGGCCGCGGCCGCGGCGCTCGCGGCGCCGGCGGCCGGCGGCAGCCCGTCGCGCGTCATCAGCAGCATGGTGAGTGACGTCATCTGGGCGGCGGTCTTCCATTTGCCCCAGGCGTTGACAGCAACTGCGTCGCGCGCTTTTGGGCCAAGGGTGGCGGCCCACTCGCGGAGGGCCGACATCGTGATCTCCCGCCCGATGATGACTAAGAGGTTTGGGCGCAGGGGAGGGACGTGCGACGAGGTGGGGCCAAGCAGCGGGGGGCATGAGTGTAATGAGGGGCTGCCGCAGCGGCGACGGTGACGGTCGTGATGGCAGGGCACCGCATGCCCAACCTCAGGGGTTGACCTACCCATCACAAGCGCGGATCGTTGGCTGCCGCGCCGCGACATGGCTGCATCACCCCTGCCCCTCTGCAGTCAACCCCATGGTCAATTCCATCGCGCAATCGCTCCCTCCCGACAGCACGCGTTTCCGCGGTGCCCACCCAAAGTGGACGCCGGCACGAGCCACGCGTTGCCGGCGAGCGCGCCCGCCGCCAGCGGCTGCGTGCACAGCAGGATCAGGGCCGCGGCCACCATGAGCTTGTCCGCCACGGGGTCCAGGAACGCGCCAAACTTGGAGGACAGATTCTGGCAGGCGGGCGGTGGGGACAATGGCGGCGGACTCTCCCGGCAGCAAAAAAAAGGCCGGAGCCGAGGGCACGGACAGGGTCGCCGCCGACCCGGGCTGGCCGAGGTATGCACGCAGGTGGGCCCGGGCCTATGGCAAGATCAGGCGGATTTGCTGGGTTTTGCCTGGAGCAGCTGCTGCCGGGGCTGCCGCTGCCCGTGATGCTGCGGCTGCGATTGGTGCTGCTGGTGCTGCATCTGTTTCACGGCAACCCAGCGCACCATTTTGCGCGCAAGGTAGCCGTCCAGCCAGTCCGTCAAGGACGCCACCACAAACAGCGCGGTGACGGCCGCGGTCGCGTGGGGCGACTGCCAGAACCAAGCTGCGGGTTTGCAGCGGGGACCAGGGCGGCGGGGGCCCTTGAGGCGGGAACGGGGTGGGCGCTGGCAGAGCTTTGATTCCTAGGTAGACTGATAGAAGCCCGGCCAAATCCCTGGCGGACAGGCCTGGGGTGCAGGTAGGCGTGCTGTCCCGGGCAGCAGGCCTACGCGCAGACGCACCCGCTATCAATGCCGGCACTGCCGCGACGCGGCCCAGGGTCAGGATAGTCGGGAGGGTGAAGATCTGCACGGGCGCATGGAAACAACGGCCGCCAGGGTTTCAATTGTGGCGCACAGGTCACAGCTGTTTCGGGACAATTGCTGCAGAGCCATGCACAATAAGCAGGGCAGGCAGGCAGGCTGGCACGCATGGTCTCCGGCGGGCACTGCTTGCAGGCCAGTCGGCGCGCTAGGTGCGCCACGAGGACCCACGGTGGATGTTTTGCCCGCCGCGCCGCCCTCCGCTCCGGCGGCGGCGCATCGCACGCCTTGCCGCCACTGCGCCGCGTCTGCGCCGCGATGGGTGTCCAGACTGCTGCTCTGGGCTGGTTGAAGGTCGCCGTCATGTCTACCGCCGCACCGGCCGCTCCTTGCGTATCGCACGCGAGTGCGCCGCTCTTGCAGCTGCCGCCCGTGTCCACCAATGCTGCTGCTGCAGGGCGACGCCTGTGGATGCTGCTCATGCTGCACGCCACCGACTGGGCGAAGCGGGCAGGCTGGCGTCCGCAGCAAGCAGCGTGCGTTGCTAGCGGCGCGCGCCCAGTGCTGCCCAGATGCCGGCACGCTACCGATACCATGTATAATTCTTGTGAGCACCGGCATTGCTGCAATGGCCGTGGCGTGGCACCACAAAGGCCGCTCCCGCAGATCGGTTGAACGGAGGTTGAACGAAGTTGCCGAACTGTGTTGGGTCTGAGATATTTGAATTCAGCATCGGGCATGCAGGCATAGGCCACCGAGTGCCTACTCGCAATTGTCAAGTTCGGCACTCGGTTAGTGCCTGGCGTTCACGGCTACCCCCTGATCCGTGCTGATCTCATTGCCAAGATATTAGAGGTTGCCAAAAGCACACAAACACCCCCAGACAGCCGACCATTATTGATCTGACACCTCGTTCAGCATCGCAAATCACAACAGCTTATCAGCCTCACCTTTCACCAAGGATAACGGCCTCTAGAACAATAGACCATCACTATGAAGTATTAAGGGCAGCACACGCCAGCGCGACCCACAGTTGCACACCAGCGCGCCTCGACTGCACCGGAACCGGATTGAGCACCATCCATCGGCGCAGCGCGACAGCCTGCCGGGCGGGCGGCGGGCCTGATGCCAAGGAAGACGGTGATTGGCAGCAGGCCCAATGAGTTCAAGTACGGCATGGGCCTGTACGGGGCCGCGTGGCCCCTCGGCGACCACTTCTTTGTCTGCGGTGGCGGCGGTCACGGGTTGGTCAACAGGTGAGCCCGCTTGCTGCGCGGCCGCCGATCAGTGGCCGCGCCCTGACATCACGCCGGCCTTGCCTTGCTTGCTCGCACACCCTGCGCCCCTCCGTTGCAGCGCCCGGGTTTTTTTGCCGCTCGTTGCAAGCGGAACCAAGCTGATTGTGTCGGTACGGGCGCTCGCGCAGGATCGTCTGGGCGTCGTTCCGCGGCGGCAGGTGCAGCGACCAAGTCGGAGAATACAAACTCGGCACGGTCACGCCCAGGCGGTGCGCGCGGCGGCGCGGCGGCTGGCCCCTGTTGCGCCACAGCCGCAGCCGGCGAGGCCGCCGCCGCTCGCGACGCGGCCGCTGCCGCCCGCACGGCTCCTGCCTCCACTGGCGGCGGCGTGCTTGGATGACGCGAGCAGCAACAGCAGCAGCACATGGCATCAAGCGGCTTGCCGCCGCATCAACTTTGGGCCCTCACCCAGACCGCGGGAACGCCCCCGCACACCCTGCGCCCCCCGCCCCCCCGCAGGATGGTCCTCGCTCCCAGCGGCAGCGCCCTCATACTGGGCATGAACGACGGCGGCGTGCGGCGCTTCCAATTGGACCTGTCGGGGCCGTCGCCGAGGCTCATAGAGGTCTCGGGTGAGCGCCGAGGGAGCTTTGGGGGACCGTCCTGGGTGCAACTGGCAGCTGGACAGGCACCCGGCGTCGCCGCGCTGGCGGGCCGTGCGCGCGCGACAGGCCGCGGTGCGAGCCGCGCTACGGGGCCGCACCATGTGCATGCCTGACGTGGCCGCGGCGCCTCCCCTCGCAACCGCGCGCGTGCGCGCCTCGCAGCTGCGTTCACGGAGCGGTTCCAGTGCCTGCAGGAGGAGGTGGACTCTATGGCGTTCACGCCTGACGGCGCCCTGCTGGCCGTTGGGTTCAGCACTGGGGACCTCAAGGTGCTGGCCTACCCCACCATGAAGCCCCTGGTGCACTGGAAGTGGGTGGCACGCGCGGCGCTGAAGGGAGGGGGGGGGGTTGGGCGTCGGGGGTAGACCCTGGGGCCTGGACGGCCGGGTGGCATGGGGACGGCGCAGAGGCGTAACGCGTGGCGCGTGCCAAAACTGGGTTCACAAAGGCTGGAACGCAAGGGGAAAGGCGGTGCTCACATGGGCGCTGATGCACGCGCAAACGTGGCATTGCCTCGCTGTGCCGCGGTGCTGGCTGCGCCACCCCCCTCCCAAAACACACACACGGATATCATGCCCGACCTCTCCTGCCCCAGGCTGGAGTCTGATGTGAAGGACCTCGATTTCGCGTGGCAGCACGGCGGCGGGCCGCAGCAGGGGCCGCTGCTGGCCACTGTCTGCGACAAGGGCACCTGCCAGCTGTGGGACGTGCGCAGCTGCTCGGCGGTGTGCCAGCTGCAGCTGCCGAGGGGTGGGTCTGAGGGGGGTCTAAGGGCTGCGCGGTGGTCGGGAGGGCACATGGATCATGAGTTTGGAGGTGCCAGGCCGCACCCTCCGTGTCTGGGCCGCACAAAGGGCGCTGCGTCGCCAGACGCCGCGCAGCACAAAACCAGTCATCCTTTCTTGTCTGGCCTTCATAACATGCGTTCAAGCGCGCCAGGGCTGAGAGTCCAGGCTTTATGAGCCTGCATTTGCTGCTCCCTCACCCTCCCGCAGGCCTGGAGCGGGCCAAATTCAGCCGCTGCCGATTTTCGAGGTCCGCGCCCATCCTGTATGTCACGATGAACCTGGTGAGGGGACGCAGGCCGCCGCGTATCAAGCCTGCTGAGTGTTCTAGCCGGGCCACCGAGCGGCCGCGCCACGCTGAGGTGTGCGGCGCTGTGGTGTGACACGCCGTTCTGCAGTGTGCCGCGTCCCGCTGCGCTGCGCTGCGCTGTGCGTGCTGTGCTGCGCGGCGACGCGCACCCCCCCCCCCTGCTCGGGTTTGGCAAGGCTGGGTCGGGCAAACATGAACCCGCCCCGTTGTCTCAGCTCCACAATCAGCTTGTATGCGAACTCCACCCATCCACCCTCAACCTCAGCCACGCAGCGGCTGCCACATTGCAGCGTACGGACCAGACCCGGAC